AAAAATTGAATTCTCAGTTCATCACCCCTTTAAAAAGATGAAGTCATCTCTATTGGATTTGACAGCAGTTACATCATTGCAAACCGTAAGTAAACTTTTCACAATGTCTTGTGTGTAAATGATGGATAATGTTTACATGAATGATATTTTCAGAACACTACCCGTGTGCAATAGCGCGGGGGCGCTATACTTATTCCTATGCAATGGCCTTTGTCAATTATAACCATGGCTGTTTATTGATTTCTGACAAAGGGTCGAATGAGGGTGGAAAAAAATATTTCCACACATGAATTAGATTTGCAACAAACTTTGTTAACATCATAATCGTGAACTTCACGATTAAACCATGATTTAAAAAAATGTCAAATGTCAGGTTTTTTATCTGTTACAGACATTGTTATTTGTTTTTATTAAAAATCTTACAAATTTTGGCAACTTTCAAAACTCTCAAATCAATACATATTCAAATCAATACATATTCAAAATGAGTAATGATAACAGAATTGTCATGTTTGGGGAACAATCCCTTTAACTTAAAGTCCCCGTGAACCGGAAGTTGCTAACGATTTTTCTCCAGTGCTGTGACGTATTTCCAAGTGAAACGGAATATTGAACAGAGGGCAGGGTTTTACTCTAGCGCTCCTCCTCTCCATCTCTCGCTCATAGCAAACTAACGGTTTGAGGGGAGTGGTTAAGCGTTTCCCCACCCAAACTGTGAAACCTACGTCATCAGAAAAAGAAACTGTTCCAGACCGGAAGTAACTTTTCAGAATTTGATTAAAGATTACTAAGGTAAAACAATTTTTTAATATATATTCACTTGCACGGATTAATTGTTCACCACAAGACTAGTAATACGCGCTAACAAAGTAAATAGGTTCAATTTTGATTTCACGGGGACTTTAAAGTTAAAGCTTTAAGTGTTTTAATGGTTTTTTAGATGTTTACACACACGCACACAATCCTGATGTTACTGATGCTTGGCAACCATAACAAAATTTGACATGCTAATACCTATGAGTAGGATGCTGGGAAATGAGGCCCATTTAGACACCACCATGTTAAAGGGGAGATTAAATGGTTGCCAAGATACAAAAAAACCTGTCTGACACCAAACATCTGAGAATGTAAGTGAAACAGCTTTATTTTGGCAATGGATTAATGCCAATAGTCACATACTCCAGGATCTAATCAAGCTTTCCCTGATGTATGAATTCACTGGGTAATCTACTTTGCATTTAATTACATGGTTCCAGTGAATTGGAATATATTCTCCCTCCACAGATTGTTTCTTAGTCACTTGTTTCACACTTGCCTCAATAATGAATGGAGGAGAAGCATACATGTTGATGTCTGCATGTTTGCGCACTGTTAAAATAAAAGGCAAGCTATTTCAGCGATTGTGTTTGCTTTTGTCTGTTATGTTTTTAACTTATGTTTAGGCACAGTATTGACATACTTCTTATCTAATTTTGCTCTGCCATTGGATATAGCTCTAAACGACAAATGATACACCAAGAATGATAACTATAAAGATATCTGATAGCGTCCACAGCAACAGACGATAATGTAAACTCTTGTTTGCATTATAAGCGCACTGCAGTTATATTTACTGCTTTAAATTTGTAGGTTGATTCGTAAAAGTTAGGTTGATTCTGATTTAGGTATGTCTCCATCCAAAGTTGCATATTTAACCTATGCGCAAAATTGTAATATCGCATTCAACATTTACAAATAAAGCACCGTCTCATTCCATGTGTTCAAGCAGCCCGTTCATATCCCAAGGCGTCATATACTGATGCTTTTGCTAATGTGTCTACATCCAACGCACATGGCACCCTTTAGCGTCGATATGAGACACAGTTACAGTATATATGGGCCAGAAGGCGCCTCCTAGTGGTCTAACCTAACCTTACCCCAGAATTACAAACCTACCCATACTTTGTGCGTGTTATATCGACGCTAAAGGGTGCCATTTTATAGTTCCAAAAAAATCGTTCTGAATTTGTGATTTTGATTATATTGTTCTGTATAGTTATTATATGGCTTGGACTTCCATATTGTTATGGAATTATTATGATTATTAACTTTATAGTGATCGTCCTTGTTGTGACCACCATGTCTACACTAGACACATAATCATGAATCTTCCAAATTTATTTGTACAGTTGTAGGAAGTAGCGCAAGTGTGTAACACGTCAAAAATAGAACGAATGAATACTGTTGCAACCCATGATTGTTATATTTCCATTTCCCTTAGCAAAAAAGCTCTTATACCAAGCTATCCTGTCTGACTGTGTATAAAAGCTGTCATGTTACAAGACTAAGAGGTGGTACTGCAGACTGCAGGAGCCACTATGATGAACACCAAATGCTGAATCATACATTTCTCAAGTTATACAAAATCTCTGTCAATTTAAAGATTTTATTTGTTGCTGCTTCTGCGGGTAATGCATGAATAATCACTGCTCCTGTTCACTTTCCCATGGGCAACCTGAATGATTCATTCACAGGGCCTTACTGGTGCCCAGCTGTGATTGCCTCGGACGCATTTTAAGTTCATCAATATTTGGAGCACTGAATACAGCAAGCTCAGGGTCAGAACTATCAGAGCGGAACGTTAATTTCACATCCCAGCCTCCTTCATGCGCCCAATCATGTCAGGAGAAACTCATGTGGGGGAGACCATAAAGTTTCATATCTAATATCAAGTCTAATATCAACTAGCAAAACACTCCGATCCAAAGAAACAGAATGATGCCGAGGGGGTTTAAAAAGCCATTTAGCTTTGTTGAAAGAACAGACTGTTTCATATTATTGTCAGGAGTGATACTGAAGCTATCTTTCCAAGATGGTTTTCAGAATCTGTGTAAACATGTAGTGTTCCCATGTTTTGAAAAATGACACAAATAAAGCTTTTTCTTCTCTTCAGTAACTGGTTTACTGAAATTACAAGATTTCAATATTTTTCTTTTTGATCACATTAAAACTAATTTGGAAACATTTTACCAGGCCATATTTCTTCTACTTTTTAAATACCCTTTTGATTTATAGCCTACTTTTTTTTTATTGTGTGCCATTTCCAATCAAGCTGTAAATTTGTCAAGTTATATAAAAAAAAAAGTGAAAATATCATTGATGTCTATTTAGGATAGATAAAATGTTCCCTATGAAATTTGATTGAAATCCAAGATGGCCGCCGGTGACAGAGCCGCACGGCATGTTATCAAACAAAGGATTAAACCTGAGATTTACACGGCAAAATTATACTGGAAGATGAACTGTTAAGCTTCCTTTCTGTCAAACTGAAGACTGTACCTCAGGATGACATTATCCTGATGGCTGTAAATCATTTTGGATCAGAGTGGATTGAAAACACCTGTTTGAACTGTGTTCTGGCAACTGAAAGATATCAACAATGTTAAGAGTTGTCTAAAACAACTGAATGAGGTTGGTGAGAATGTTCCTCGCTTTGTGTCCTTTCACTTGGATGATCTACCATCGGTGACTTTTAATAGCCTCAATGTCTCTCGCCTGGTTAGTAAGATTGAACGGCTAAATATAGAGTTGGTCTCCATGAAAAATACTGTGTGTAAGCAGTCGACTGAATGTGAGAACCTTCGTGGAGCAAACGACTGAGTGTGATTGAGCAACCCAGTGCCAGCAAGGGAAATGCTGCCACAATCATGGCCAGTGAGGAGGCCCGGCTCCATGGACCAAGTCACCAGGACCCTCGGCGTTGCCCGTCATTGAGGAGACAGCTGGCGGGGGAATTGAGGTGCCGACGTCCTCTGAATGGAGAGTCGTGTGTTAACAACTAAGCTGGTGAGTGTCTTTGTGACAAAGCTTGATCCTGACTTAGATTCTGAGACGCTGGCTAGTTATTTAAAAGAATAGCTTTCCAGAGATGTGACTTGTCAGAAGATTGGCACTGAGTATACTCGCTGTAGTTCTTTCAAAGTTACTTATAGCTGAATGCAAGGAAGTAGCAGAGATGTATTTGCTGCAATGTGGCCTGAAGGGACCTATGTAAGGCGCTTCTGTGAGAATCGCGAGCCTAGGGCTCTGGTACGTGCAGGTATTAAAGCACCACTTGACACAGAGATGATGCGCCTGATCCAAAGGGTGTCCCATGCATGTTAAACAATGATAAACTGCTATGAGAGTTGTATCCTATTACTCCCGTGGTTTGCATATTGGGCAGGATGCTGGAGCTAGAGCCCAACGCACTGTTATTGACAAGCTCTTTGTGAATGCTGATGTGGTGTGTTTGAAAGGGACTTTTTTAGCTATTCAAGATCTGGGTAAACTCAACACTGTGAACGATGACTTTCATGGGGCAGGGGAATCCACAACAGACTTAAACACCAGAATTTTGTGTGGTAGTATCTCAGGAGGTGTGGCTATATTCTGGCTCAAGAAATTTGACCCTTTGGTCACTGTGATCAGGTTAGATGTGGACTGGTGCATAATAAGAATGTTTTTCTAATCTTAAATGTATATACTCCATATGAATGTCACAAAAATGTAAATGAGCATTTGAATAAGCTTGCTTTTATAGGGTCTTACATAAGGGAAAGTGAATCCATGTTTGTCTTGGGGGATCTGAATGCTGATATATCAGATATGAATTCACTTTTTGGTCAACACTTGATACAGTTCTGCAAAGATAACAAGGTTATTCTGTCCACTAAGGAATCACTGCCAGCAGATAGCTATACACATGTGAGTGAAGCCTGGCATACTACATCTTGGTTGGACCATTGTATATCTACTGCTGATGATACACATGATTGTATAAAGGAGGCTGAGATCCTATATGGTTTGGCCACAGCAGACCATGTATGTCCACTGGACACAAAATTAGTCATCAATAAATTGCATTTAATGACAAAACTATGAATACAAGCAAAAATACATTTATTAGGTCAATTAATGAACAATACAAATACTGTACTGTCCAATTTACTGTTCATAGTTAATATGGGTATCATTTAAATTTTAGAGATTTAGAGTACAATTCTCATTCTGCTTATCGATTCCCAGATTCCATTCAAATATGTAAAAAAAAAAAAGTCAAACATAGACATCAAACATATTTATTCTGACTTTTTGCAAAACATCCTGTTGCAGCTAAATACCATTAACAAAAATCAGCAGCCTAAAGAACAACTAATTAATAATAGACTGACTAATATAAAGCACTTTGGCCAACTCGTGTTGTTTTTAAACGTAAATCTCTCTTAGTAGATGGGGAGCGTGACGCACCTCTCAGTTTGATGCCAACCTGGAGACAGAGATGAGAGTAATTCACTCAAAGCTCTGCTGTTTGAAGCCTCCTGTCCACCCAATGGGTGAAGGACCTTCAGTCGACACAGGTGAAGGGAATTATGGGATATGGAGCTTTGGACACTGTTGGACATCAGTGAACACCTGCTGCGTGCTGTGGTTTAGTTGAAAGGTATTGTGGGACGTAAGCAAGATTTGGCACAAGCATTGCAACAGGTCATAATTTATAGATATATATAAATAACAAATAACTAACCACAGAAATTCTCATGTTCCATAAGCTTGGTTGATTCGGGGTATTTCTTTACTACACTGAGAAAAATGAAAAAGATTTATTTATGTCACAGCTTCACGGCAATACCTTTGCTTGCGATAAGCCTTTTTTTGTTGATGTTTTCACATCATCTGAACAGCTCCTTTTATCTTGACCTCAATGATGCCAATCCACTTTCGACCAACTTTCCATAGTTCACTCAAATAAAAAGATTCTGTCATTATTTACTTTCAAGATCTTTAAACCCATGACCTATGTGTGACAGAAAGTCGTTCTTTTCCACTTAGGCTTTCACACCGGGTAGTTATAGACCATTTTACAAGGTGTAAACAACACTGAAACACTTCCTGTTTCAGTTTGTAACTGTTTTCTTTATTTCACATGTAAAGAAAACATCTTAAGAATATGCGTTTAACTTTTTGATTCAGTTTTATATGTTCTGTTGGTTGTATTTTATCCCAACTTTTATGTAGTGTTAAAAAACTGAAACAGGAAGTGCTTCTGGACCAGTGTTGTTTACATCTTGCAAAATGGTTCAGGCCGGTCCCCCGAGAACTAATGTTCCCCTAGAACCATTTTCCTGGTTGCATTCGGACCGCCAGTATGAACTCTGAAGTGACGTAAGCCGTCAGACAGCGACAACTGGAGGAAGGGAGGACTCCATGATCAGAGCTGTGTTTTTGTTGTGGGTCATGGGTTTCATGACAATGGATATGGAATATAGACATAAATTTATGCGCTTGAAAGAGGAAAAATCTCCCATGACAACTTGCAGTAACATTTCATGCAGGCTGAGAAAAGAACACAACGCCGCAGACAAAGGTAACAGGCAAATACTATCTATCTATGTTTAAGAGGTTCTTGGAATTAGTTCCTGGAATAAGTACGTAAACTGTGTGTTTGAATGGCTATTTAAAAATGGCAGGTGCCGGTGTGTCATATGGCATGCGTTCTGCCAATCAAAGTCCACTTAACGTCACTGGTAGTTCCTATAGAGTGCTACAATGCCCGCCCACTATTTTGGTGCGGTTGGTTCCTGAACTGTTTTGTCCATTAATTTATCCCTAGAATAAAAAAAAAGAGTCTTTGTCAAAGCGTTATAAGAATAGTAGAATTTTTTCTCTTTTTCGCACCTGATACAAGTTTACCTGGGTCGTCTCCAAATCAATGTCCCTGAACATCTCCTGATCGACGTTCAATATTATTTATACTCTAGCGTGTTTCCTAATCAACGTCATAGGGGTCTTGACCCCTATGAACACTAAAATAAGATCTCTAGTGCTTCACCAACTTGACAGACTTCAGCAAAAAAAAAAAAAAAAAAAATATATATATATATATATATATATATATATGTTAACAGCCGCTGGTCATCCTTTCTGCTTAACAGAAAGAACATTTCTGCTTAACTTTTAATTTTGTGTTCCACAATAATCCTACAGTTTGGGAATGACATAAAGGTGAGTGAATGACTTTTAAAAGACGTTTAATTTCGGGGTGAACTTTAATACATTTCACAGTTTCAGTATGAGTATTTCTTCATGCAGACTTCACACTGCGATTTTACCGTGACATTAATAAGCAGTCTGCTTTTGCACCATGACATTTCACCAACACATTTAACATGCATTCAATGCAACTGAAATTAATTTTAAGGCTGAGGGCCAATTCAAGTTAATGTAAAAAAACAAACATTTGTTGAAATACGAAATAATGTTTACCTTCTTTATCTTCAGTTGGTTCTGTTCAATCCGTTTTTTTTTTTGCTCATTCTCCCTATGCATATTTGCCAGAACTGCTCTGTGAAAGGCATTGACATGTAAAAGCTATCTCTGGGGCTTCTTATAATTACAGCCTGGCAGCACACAGAGCCTCCACAAAGGTCTAATAATCAGAAGGAGATGATCAGACCATGGTCTATGCCTCTGAAAAGCCACACTGCTGAATTATAAAGTAGCACAGCTTCTCCTGCGGGAGGTCATGCATGCCACTCTCCTTCCTGTTACACATAAGGGTTTTTCTTTTAATGCTGCTTCTAATCATTTTGTTCATCTTTCAACATTCTATATTACTTTTATTGCGAAAAGAGCAAATGGCCTTCCATCGTACTCTTGTTCACATATGAAAATCAACTAGACTACCAGTATGACGGTTGATGGTTTCCGCGATGGGTGGAAGGAGGTTGTGCAAAACCACTTTACACCCTTCAATCGACCACAAGAAAGGGTAGTTAACGTTAAAAATGTGCAATCACTTTCTTTCTAAATGCCTTAGGGACAGATGGCTTGTGCACTTTGCAAGGAGTTTAGAACACAATTGAATCATGATGACATGTCACATATCAAACAGAAAGTTGAAGCAAAGGTGTAGCAAGTTTTTCGTGTTCCTTTGAGAGACCCTGTAATTTGACCCAATGCAGGGTTTTTATGTGTTGGTGTAGAAGTTAATCTAAGGTTTTGTATTCTCCCTGATATGATAATGGAACAAAACCTTTATTTCACATCATTAAAACAATGCAGTGAGTCCCTCCTGCAGTCTTTGTAAATGGCTTTGAAAGCCAAATGCATGAATGTAAATATAAACACTGCATACAGGTTTAGTTGACATTAAAGGAGCCGTATGTAAGATTGTGGCCAAAACTGGTACTGCAATCCCTTTCAAATTACTGTAGAGCATTGTATCCCCTCCCCTCCCCCCCTGACTCGAGGTTGCCAGATACACTGTAAAAAATATTGTTGGTTTAACTTAAAAAAGTAAGTAACCTGGTTGCCTTAAAATTTTAAGTTGATTGAACTGGAAAAGGTGAGTTAATACAATGTAGGAAATTAATTTAATCATCAGAAATTTAAAATTATAAGTTATCTCAACTAAATAAATTATTTAAGTTGATTTGACAAAAGAAAAAATGTTGTGATAACAAATCTTTAAAAATTTTTTTTTTTTACAGTGATAGGCGGCAGGATCCAACATTTTTTTTATCCGACACATTTGTATCTGCAGCTGTGGTAACTAAAGCAGAGCTGGCAACCCGAATGCTGCGTCACTACTGACTTTGTGATTGGTAGATAGATGGAGGGTGGAGCATCAGACCAAAACACAACATCAACATCAGTTGAGGGCTGCAACTTCACTTTTTAAATGACAATATCCTGGCTGGACTTTTGTCAATGATATAAATATTTGAAATGAACATGATCATATCAGGGACATTTTATGTTATTTGAAATACATTTCTTACATACAGCTCCTTTAAATATTTTTCGAAGGTTGACATATCCTGTGGTGTTAAATGCTATACTCAATCTGAAGCTATTCTGAACACAATTTTGCTGCTTATTTTATCATTATTATGCACGCAGCTTTTGACCTCATGTTAATTTGGAACATTTGCATATTTATAAATCGTTTGAGGTGTTGAAAGCATTCACAGATTTAAGGCATTCTTTAAAGTATGCATCCTATTCAAAAAGTTTATATGTTTAAATTGTGACAGTCCACTTTAGACATACTAGTACTAACTATAACTTTGCAACTGTCAACTACCAGTCAGTGGTATTAATAGACTGTCTGCTTACCATCCGCTAACACTTTATTTTGATGCTCCCCAACAAACATTGTAACTTTGGAAGTACATGTCAACTTATTCTATTAACCCTTACCATGTAACCTAAAAGTCTACTAATACTCTAGTTTGTAGATGTATAGTTGCAAATTAATGAGAGTTAGTTGACATGTTTCAAAGTTACTTATAGTGTCTAAAGTAGACTATCGAAATAAATTGCAACAATTTGAAGATTGTTGTGGTCATTAATGACACAAGTTTGATTTGGAGCAGAATAGGCTAAAGAAATATGCTCAAACAGAAAGATACATCTTCCTTGGCATGTAACCAAATCAACATTTTAATGCGCTTCTTGTTAAAACATAACTATTATTTATCACTTTATTGTAGATTTACATTCCACAAAATATCATAAATCTTAACTCAAAATTACTGACTGCGTCGACCCACCTGAAAATCATTGAATAAGAACAATTTTTAAAAATGAACTAGTGAAGGCAAAATAAATGTTTTAAATAAGCCACACTGTAAGAAAAATTAAATTTTTAAATACATCAACTTGGATGTTTAAGTCATTTCAACTTGAATTACGTGATTAAACAGACTTAAATTAGTTGAATCTTGCATAGCATAAAACAGATTTATTTAAAAACATATGTTGCGACCACTTATTGATACTTTTTATACTTTACAAAACAGCAATATTTATTCTTTTGATCAAATGTATATTGATAGCTATTGGATTTAGATATCAGAGGGAATTGCTTGGGAATATATTCATAAGGGCAATCCAACTTTCTCACATTTGATCCTATAGTTACTTTTTTTTAGTCGCAGTTTATTTATATGCTTGTTAACACATCACATCCCAGTTGTCGTATGGGGAGAACAACCATCAAGGCTGCCAATGAAATGGCTGATCTGTGGGATTTGAAGCAAACACAATAGGTGTTATGTGCAGGGAATCTAATCTTGTTGCTCAAGCCAGGATTTTCTTTTCTGTGGCTTTACAGAAGGCTGGGCGTTAACTAATTTTTACACCAAAGAAATGCACAGCTTCCTTACCAAAGCAACCTGTGCTCTTGCATATAATGGTCAATTTTTGGATATTGCAGCTAAGCCTCTCACAATGTGGTGTAAGACTGATTAGAATTAATCTTTCTCTCTCTCTCTCTCTTTTTTTTTTTTTTTTCAAAAATGCTTATTAGGTATTTTCTGATGGAGCCTGGATCTAAAATAAGCTACTTAGGCCTCTTGCCTCACTGTGTCACATTCAATACATCCAACATGTCCAATTTACCCTTGATTAACAACACGCAATTTGAATAAAACAGCAAAATTTGCTGAAGTTATTACTGCCTGCAAAAGGAACAAATTGTGTTTTATATTTATGCTACGATCTGTTTCAGCTTTAGTGCTCCTTGTCCACCCCTTTAAATATATGAAAAAACATTGTCTCTTTTTTTTATCTGTTTGGCAGTACAAGTTAGGACCACATGTTTTCTTGCTTAATAAAACTGTATCATTTCACCCTTTTAAAGTGACGTATAACCCTAAGATTAAAATCAGTTTTACAACATTTATTCAAAAAAGTGCTTTTAAAACCTTGTGCATGGTTACACACAAAACAATTAAGTTACATCAACAATTTCAGCATTTTCATGTTGCATATATGTGCCCCCTCTGTCCCATTACAATCACAGAGACTCCTTCATCAACAACAATCCTGAAATGTGTATTTTAACTCGTATTATACCTCATATTAATTATTATCATTCACTTTTAATCTAAAACCAGTCGATATAACAAGTAGCTTCTCTGTTCAGTTTTACCATCCCAATGGTGTAGAAATGACAGGATTTCCAGAGCAGTCTATTTAACAGATGTGATGGCTGATGAATGAGTGTTACTTCTCTGAACGTTTCATTTCCATCAGGACGGGTAATGATATAACCCAGCTCTGACAAACCCGTGATCTCTTGAGGGAGTACCAGCGTGCTGCAGCTTGCGTTCTGAGAACCATAGTAAGATTATTAAAAGATTAGCTCTCTCTCAGATATATTGCAACATTCCCCATGTTATTTGTCACTTCCAGTATACAAAAAGCCTTTTGAAATGTTAAGGAAGCTAGCTCAAACCTGAATCATATTCTGTACGGAGCAGAAAAGGGATAAAAAATATCCTGAGGAAACACAACAAGGAGATAAAAAAACTATCATGAGCTTGCCTCTCTAAAACTTGATGCCATTTTGTTGGAGTTTGCCTGACAATTGATTGAAAATTGATATAGTTAAAGCATTCTGATTGGTTTATGGTGTTCTTCAGGGTCACTAGGACTCTGTTAAAAGTATTAAGATGCATTTTGGCAATGGGGGTGTAAACGCCCGAAATGTTTTGAGCTTCTACACTTTCAGTCACATTCGGGAAACGCTTGTGGTCAATGCGTTTGGATTTGTCAACCAACCACTGTACTAAACAACTGCTTTCAACTTTGGCAGTTTCCTGATGCCTTATAGTCAGCTTTTAAGACTTTAGACTTTTAGACTTTAGCCGTTTTTCCAGAGTTTTTAGATCAATTTCTTGCATTTTCCCCCCTTATGAACAACAACTTTTGGTACACGATAAAAACTCCTTGTGGTTCGATCGATTCAAGTAACCATAAATGACTCAAAACACAGGCTTTTGAGTTTGTCATAGTGCTTTCTAAATCCAGGAAATCACTTCCTGCCTTCCATTTGTATTTTTTACGCCATGGCAACGCAGTGGCATGACGTCATATGAAACGTGAAAATGAAAATGACGTCATATGAGGCCCAAAAGGCCAAAACGTGTGAAAATAACATGCAATTATGCGTTAAGACGTTACTTTCACACATTTTGGCCTTCCATAGCGTTAACACTTTTTTAAATTTACTTTGATTGCGTTGCTTGCGTCAGAAATTAAAGGGCACATGAACTTAAAAAATGATGATGTGCACAGATAAATTATTTATAATATACTGCAATGTTCCATAAAAAAAAGAGAGAATTGTGATTTCATGGTGACTTTAAGCATCTGAATATTTGAGAAGCACATATATACTGGCACAAGACATTTTCTGATCCATTCAGCCGATTTTCTGATATTTAGAAGAATATCAGTAAACAGTTTCTGTTCCCATTACTTGTTTACTGGTATTCTTCTAAATATCAGAAAATCGTCTAAATGGATTCAAAAACGGTAATATCCAACTGTTTAACTCTGGGGGAGTTGTAAAATGAGCCTAATTCCAAAAAAGTGGAGTATCCCTTTAATACAAGTATACTTCACTAAAATAACAGACAATTCTTCGCTTAATGTCACGTTTCTGCTAAACTGCAAGTATGTTACATAACAGTGGTAGAATAAGTTTATATCCCAAGTTTTGTTCAGATCTATAACCCTATGAGCCATAATATCGGTGATCTTAGTCTAGCAACAAAACTACTAATTAAAACTGACAGAAAAATACATAGACTTCCATTAGATCCCAATTTACAAGTTAAAGCATCTCTATT